TTGGAAACAGGAACCGATCCGCTCTGTTTTGCTGAAGGTTTCAGGGTCACCTGAGGATATTTTCCCATTGATTTCTAGAGAGTGGAAGGGTGAGGGAGACACAGAAACGTCGATGTGAGAGAGACACATCAATTGGTTGCCTCCTGCATGCACCCTGACCAGGGCCAGGGAGTGTGCAACCAAGGTCCGTGCCCTTGACCGGAATCGAACCCGGGACCATTCAGTTTGCAGGCGGGAGCTTTACCCACTGAGCCACACCGGCTATGGCAGTGGTTGGAGTCTTCAGTCCTGTCCCCAGGCTGAGGGTGGGTCCTCCTCCCTGTGCCTTTGAGGAAATAATGATCAGAGAGGTGGTCACATGTCCAGGGTCACACAGGACAAAGTCCACATGTGAACTGCTGGGTTTGGGGTGAGGGATGATAGGGTAATTGTAGAAGTAATTATACACTCATTAGAGAGAACACTGAAGTCTTCCTCCATCCCTTGCCAACTACCCCAGGAATTCCATGAGCCCCTCCAGAGGTAGCCACTACAAGACACATTTCCTTCCAGACCTTCTGTGTTTCCATTTGTGCATAATGTATGTAACCAGCCTGGCCAGTGTGGTTCAGTGGTCGACCTATGAACCGGGAGGTCAGGGTTCAATTCCAGGTCAGGGCACATGCCCATGTTGCGGGCTCGATCCCCAGTAGGGGGTGTGCAGGAGGCAGCCCATCAATGATTCTCTCTCATTGATGTTTCTATCTCCCTCTCCCTTCCTATAAATAAATTTTAAAAATATTTTTAAAAATGTACCTAACCAGTGATATGTACACATTTGCATAAAAGGTGTCACAGCTGGTTCCTCACTTGTGCCGTTCACCACGCCTTCTTTCCATCTCCTGTGGAGACCCACCCAGACCCACCTCCTGTTTCCCCCGGGGCCCCCCTGCCACCGCGTGCGGACTTGGGGAGGAAGGGGGTGCTGGCTTTCTCCAAGCTGAGGTTCCTGAGCTTACGTAGCCGGGTCCCCAGGACAACCCCGGGGCCTGGCAGTGAATCGGGCCTGAACAGCTCCTGCCAAATTTTGACCTGAACTGTGGCTATAAAGCAGCGGTTCTCAACCTGTGGGTCGCGACCCCTTTGGGGGTCGAACGACCCTTTCACAGGGGTCGCCTAAGACCATCGGAAAACACATATATAATTACATATTGTTTTTGTGATTAATCACTATGCTTTAATTATGTTCAATTTGTCACAATGAAATTGGGGGTCACCACAACATGGGGAACTGGATTAAAGGGTCGCGGCTTGAGGAAGGTTGAGAACCGCTGCCTTTGAAAGGAAGTGCCTGGAGTGGGAGGCCTCCGATGGGTGACAAGCCCTTCCCTGCTGAGCCTCCGTTTCCTCATCTGTGAACAGGGGACCCTCCCGCAGGGTTCAAACTGTATATGTGCACATGTCCGTGCGGCCTCGTTCCCACCGCGCGGGCTCAAGGGCAGGAGGCCAACAGGTGGGGTGACGTGTTTTTCCGAGCGTAGCGACCCAGGTTGCTGCGTCAGAGTGTTTGTGGAGCCCGGATGTGCGGGCTATGCTTTTGTGGCGAAGAGGCCCTGGATTTCCGTTCTCAACCCTCTCGGGTCCCCATCTGTGAAAGGGGGCGAACAGTGCCCTCCTGCTGAGGGGGGTGGAACTCAGTAGATGCAAATAGAAAGGAGGTGGGAGTCACCCAGATCATGAAGGCACAGGCCCGGGGAGCGCCGCCCTTGGGGGAGGCCACCGCAGCCAGAAGCTAAGCTGGGACTGGCCTTCCTGCCCTGGTCCACCCAGCCCAGGGGGAGGCTCAGCAGGCATGGGGGGGGGCGGTGGGCGGGCAG